TAGTCTTCCTTGCCCTCATGTTTACCCTCCTCACATCGCACTCCACAGTGTAGCCAAAATGATCTTCGTAAAATGTGGATTTAATTATGTTATTCCTTTCCTTTAAACTCTTAAATTACTGTTACCTATTAAATGTCTTAGGGGATAGTCCATGATTTGGCCCTTGGCCATCTGTATAGCCTTGTCTCCTGTCTATCCATTCCTCTTTGAATTCTATACTTTGGTTATTATGAATTATTTACCATTCTTTCATATAACAAATATTTATTGAGTTCCTGTAGGCTCTCAAGATATAACAGTGAAACAGAAAGATAAGGTACTTACATTCTCAAACTAACATTTACTTGTGACAGACAGGTAAACAAGGTAAGGCCAGAGAGTGATAATGCTAGGAAGGAAATAAAACAGGTTGGTGTAAGGAGAGTAATTGGGACAGACTGCTTCTTCTTTTTTTTTTTTTTTTTAAGATTTATTTATTTTAGAGAGAGAGTGTGTGTGCATAGGAGCAGGGAAGAGAGGGAGAGGGAGAGAGAATCTCAAGCAGACTCCGCAGCGGAGCACAGAGCCTGACACGAGGCTTGATCTCATGACCTGAGCTAAAACCAAGAATCAGACACTCAACTGACTGAGTCACTCAGGCATCTTGGGACAGATTATATCTGATAGGTAGTCAGTGAAGCCTCTTCTTAAGTGATGAAATTCCAGGTAAGATCAAAATGAAGAGATGTTTCTGGAATAAGATATGCTCTCTCACACTTCACACTCTTTTTTTTTTAAATCTTATTTATTTATTTGACAGAGAGAGACACAGCGAGAGAGGGAACACAAGCAGGGGGAGGGAGTAGGAGAGGGAGAAGCAGGCTTCCCGCAGAACAGGGAGCCCGATGTGGGGCTCGATCCCAGGACTCTGGGATCATGACTGCAGCCGAAGGCAGACGCTTAACCGACTGAGCCACCCAGGCGCCCCTCACACTCTTGATGTATCTAGAACATTCCTTTCTCCAACCTGGTGGCTCTAATCATTTTTCAAGATTCAGATCAAGGGTCATTTCCTTAATTCTTTCCTGATCCTTTTCTCCTTTGTGACTACACAGATTTCTACCACAGCACTCACGCACAGTCTTCAGCATTCAGTGGGTCTTTGTGTTTGGTGAAAGAGTGAAATACTTTTGACAGGTCTCTATCATCAGTGATGTGCTGGAGCCAGACTGTTCTGCTTGGGAGAGCTGACTGTTAGCATCTCTTTCCAACTCTGTGTTTGCTGATACCACTGGCCATAGTGGGTGAACTTACACTATGGAAATTGGCAAATGTTATAAATCAGACCACTTATTTTTTTCCTTTGGAGAACTGGCTGTTAACAATTTCTCAGCATGCCACCGGGAGCGGTGTACCACAAAATTCTTACCTTTTTGTTTGGCAATTAAATTTATATATCCAGGGCGCCTGAGTGGCTCAGTTGGTTAAGTGACTGCCTTCGGCTCAGGTCATGATCCTGGAGTCCCGGGATCGAGTCCCACATCGGGCTCCCTGCTCAGCAGGGAGTCTGCTTCTCCCTCTGACCCTCTTCCCTCTCGTGCTCTCTCTCATTCTCTCTCTCTCAAATAAATAAATAAAAATCTTAAAAAAAAAATTATATATGCATGTATATATCTTTTCTTTTTATTTGAGAGAGAAAGAGACAGACAGAGACAGAGAAAGGGAGAAAGAAAGGGAGAAGCAGACTCCCTGCTAAGCAGGGAGCCCCACACAGGGCTTGATCCCAGGACCCTGAGATCATGACCTGAGCTGGTCAGATGCTTAACTGACTGAGCCACCCAGGTGCACCCCCAGAGACAACTTTTGGACTTCTTTTTGCTGAGTATTTCAGTATTTACCTCCCCATCTCTACATAATAACATGCTACATATATTACTACTTCTTGATTTTTTAGTTTTAGGCATTATCAATAGACTTCCCACAATGGAAGATGAGGATTTAGCTTCCCTTTTCCCCCCTGCTCCGTCTTTCCATTCCTATCCCTCATTCTTTCAATATTGTTATAGCATAATTTTGGTCTATAGTGTTTATTATGACTATATAAATTCTTTTTCATAGTTGAGTTACACAGTGAACTATGATGCCTCTTCCTTTCGTGTACAACTTTTTAAACAGAGTTCATAATTGTTTTGCTTTTGTTAGATGGTATTCTATGCTATTACTAATTCAACACGAACTTTTAGCCAGTTGTCTAAATCTTTCAATGTTTTTATGCGTCTGGTATTTTATCACTTTCATCTTCCTGAGTAAGTGCTCTGTGGATTCCACTCTGAGCTAACTGCTCCCTTTATGCTTCCATGCAGTTGTTCATATATAAAGTTGTCATCCTTGGATCTGCCTTCAGTATCATCCTATGGATACTTTTTGCTTTTTTAGAGTTGGATCTCTTGTATCTTACCTCTTTGGTTTACTCTTCATTTTGGTGGAACACATCAGAAAAGTTTTTGAGACTTTTCCATGGTCACACTTAACCTTTTGCTGGGGTGTAGAATTCTAGGTTGAAATTAGTTTTCCTTCAGAATTTTGAAGGCGTTGTTCTATTATCTTCTAGTTTCCATTGTTGCTACTGATAAGTCCAAAACAAAGCCATTCTGGTTCCTGATTGGTTGTATAGGACCTATTATTTTCTCTTTGTAAGTTTGTAGCATGCTTTATTCTCCAGTGTTCTGAAATTTCAAAATGATGGAGGTTTATTTTTACCCATTGTACTGGGCACTTAGTAGGCCTTTCCATTCTGTAAATTCATATCTCTCAATTGTGAGACATTTCCCTATATTATTTTTTTTTTAAAGATTTTATTTATTTATTTGAGAGAGAGAGAATGAGAGATAGAGAGCACGAGAAGGAAGAGGGTCAGAGTTGGAGAAGCAGACTCCCTGCTGAGCAGGGAGCCTGATGTGCGACTCGATCCCGGGACTCCGGGATCATGACCTGAGCCGAAGGCAGTCGCTTAGCCAACTGAGCCACCCAGGCGCCCTCCCTATATTATTTCTTAAATAATTTCCTCCTCTGATATCTGAACTCTCTTTTTTTACAGAACTCCTATTCAGATGTTAAACATCCTGAACTGGTCCTCTCATTTCCTTATCTTTTCTCTTCTACGTTCTATCTCTTTGCTCTACTTTCTGGGAAATGTGACATTTATCTTACAATTCTTTTTTATTGGGGTTTTCCTTTTGTTATCATAGTTTTAATTTCATAGAGTTCTTTTTTTGTTCTTTGAAATAACAGGTTGTTTGGAAGTATTTTTCTCTCCCTGCAGAGTCTCTGTTTCTTCTAAGTAGCTTTCTTCTGTTTGATCTGTGGATCTTTCATGATAGGCTTTCTTTAGATCTCTGGTAATCTTTGATTATCTCTTCATCTTTAGGGGAGGATTCTAAAAAGGCTGATTGGAAGCTCTAAGCACATGAATGGAATTTGTCATCCATAATTTTCACTGCAGGGTGATTTGAGTGGACTGTTAGAAATCTCTGACATAGGGGCGCCTGGGTGGCTCAGTCGTTGAGCGACTGCCTTTGGCTCAGGTCATGATCCCAGGGTCCTGGGATCGAGCCCCACATCGGGCTCCCTGCTCTGCTGGAAGCCTGCTTCTCCCTCTCCTACTCCCCCTGCTTGTGTTCCCTCTCTCGCTGTGTCTCTCTCTGTCAAATAAATAAATAAAATATTAAAAAAAAGAAAGAAAGAAAGAAAGAAAGAAAGAAAGAAAGAAAGAAAGAAAGAAAGAAAGAAATCTCTGACATAAATCACTTTAGGTTTTTTTTCTTGGGCTGGTCAGAATCTTCAGAGAAGCTTCTTCCAAACTCCAGACTGAAGGCTTTATGCCTGGTTGTCAGGGTTTGGGAATCAAGTTGGGAAGGGGGCTTGGGGGAGGACAGATCTTAGTGGCCAATATCCCTATAGTCTCCAACTTTCCTGGTTTTTAATTATGGTACTTCCTCCTTCAATCCTGTCTATTATCTTCCATGAGTCACTCTTCCTAAAGAGCAAAGGCTTAACCTTTCCCCCTGCCCCTCACTGGCAGCTAGGAGAGGTAGTTCAGCTTTCATCAAACTTGGCAGTCTTCCCCTTCCTTCTCTCCTATCAGTTCCTAGATGGAGAAATCGACAGGTATCAGATCTAGAATCAAGGCTTTAGAATTAGCTCTTTCAGGCTGATCCAGTCTAGTGTTTTTCAAAATTTGTTTACAGATCTGCTTCACATCCTCTAGGAAGGACAAGTGCCCCTTCCCCACTGTATTGCAAACAACTGTGCTTTTATCAGTTTTAAATATTGAGTTTCTGCATAAGATTTATCTTGACAAAAAGTTCACTTTCTAAAAAGTCTGAAGACCATTGCTTTGGTAATATCCTTCCTCTCTTCCACTGCCTATGCTTGCATTTTATACAGGAAAAACCTGAGGTCCATACAGAGGAATAATCTTATTAAATATCATTCAAGTCTTCTTACTCCAAGTTCAAGCTGTTCATAAACCAAGATTTTAGGATACTCTAAAGTGTCTCAGAATGGGGGAAGAGTCTCCATAACTTGTAACAAAGAAGCTCTCCCTTAAAAATAGTATGTGGCTTAAATGACCACGCCTCCTAGTCCCCTGCCTTCTTCGGGGCTGCTCTGGGACACTGAGAAGCAAGGTGACCCTTAGACGTTGGTAAGGGTTGTTCCAGCACTGCCAGCGGTGCCCTATGGTGGCCATCCCACCGAGCAGCTGATCAAAGCAAGAGAAGGCAGCCTCTCTCAGGACCACAACTGGAATAAGTGTGAAAAAGTTGCTGGAAATGCTTTCAGAGACCATGTCTTAATGGAGCCAAAACCAAGGCCTCAAAGGGCCTAGGCACTGTTCCTTCCTTCGCCTTTTTCCTTTCCTCCCCCTCCTCAAGCTGAGCCCTTTCCGAGGCTGGACTGGCCCCCCAAACCTTCCAGAGATGCCAGGGACCTTGCCTCAAGTGGGCACAGGGGAAACATACCCTTCCTCCACCGTGACTGAGTTCATGAGAAGGCAACTGGTGATAGTCACTCTATTTCTTATGACACAGGATGAACCAATGACTGAGTGCTTAATGGATGACTTCTCTCCAACCTGTGTATCTGGCCCAATGAGGCTCTCAACTCCAATCTGCAAAAGGCAAATATAAAACCTTGTCCATCCATCTCAAGCAACTGCAAACCAACCCCTCAGATCCCTTGAGTTGGGGTCTAATGCAATCTTCCCCCAGAGACACCTCAGTAGAGGGACCATCATCCCTCTGCTCCATCCCATCATGGTCACCAGCATGTGATCATATTTCTCAGGGCCACAAGGTCATGTAATACCTCTGAGATCAACTCAAACTTACACACTCATGCATTTGTGTATAGATGTGTTCTCTTGAAGAGAGTGCTCAAATCAGGGTAAGAAGAGGGACAGAGATGGAAAGCTCCTGTGTCTGAGTCCCAAGACCATAATGGATCTTCCTTACAGAATTTGTATGCCTGGGGTCAGCACCTGTCCAGCTTCTCGAGTGTCTGGGCTAGAAGATGGTATTTTATAACCAGAATCCAGTTGGGATTTCCCTAGGACTAATGAGTTCAGGGCTTGAGAACCCCAGTCCATCTTCTCAAGGATATATCTCAATGCACCCGGAGACTGTCCCATACCTGCCTTGCCCAAGATAGCACTTACCAGGTGTTTGCTGACAATCTGGGCTGATGAATGAATCAGTGATTCTTCTGGACAGAGAACAGACAGCAATTTGGGCACCTTGAGGAAAGAGGTTTGGTCACCAAACTTAAGACCAGAAAACACCTGAAAGCATCTTAGGTAGAACTCAATGCCCAGCTAGAGATGCAGGGAGTTTTCAGCCACAGCATTTCTGTTGGGGGTGAGGCAGGGCAGGAGGCTGCTATATTTCCCCTAGGACAAGGATCATATATGTAGTAAATTCTAGATGGTCTTATCCTTAGTTTCCTAGCTGAGAATCTCCTCCCTGAAAGTAATGCCACATCCCCCAACTGGGAGGCGCTAAGGCAAGCCTTCAAGAGTCCCGACCATAATCATCCCAGGTTCCTGCTCCCCTCGTAGACCAGTGTGGCCATGCCTAAAGTGAGGGTAGGAGCAATGTCAGACAAATTCTACAATCAGGACAGGTACTGAGAGGGCATCCATCCATGTTCTTCACCAGCCAAATTAAAATGTTGAAGGTGTTCACACTAGACTGTCTCCAGTATGAGAAAATGGAAAAGGCTACAGATTTGGAAAATTTTAGCTCTGGACCTATTAGGAAGGCACAGGTAGTGTGCCTACTGTCATTCTGCAGCATGGACGGAGTGCTGGGCAGAGCATTATGTGTGGTGGCCACGCTGGCTGAGGGACACCGTGCCGGGACTGGGCACGCTGGCAGTGTGAAGGCTAATCCCTCAGCCCTAATCCCCGGGATCTCCTTCCTTCATTACACTTCAACCACGGCCATTCAGGCCTCTCTGCTGCACAGGCCCTGCTGGTACTTCAGAGCACACGTCCCTAGCCCAGGCATCCGTGGGCCTGCTTTCAGACCAGCCTGACAGACTCTGGTCAGAGAACTGAAAAATGAGACCTGAAAGTCAAATTAAGGAAGGTTTCTAATAACTCTGACCCTACACTGGGGCTAACTTTACTGAGGACTGCCCTGGGTAAATGTGAGACTCGTTACGATTTCTCACAAACTCTCTGCCTTGGATGCTCTTGGATCTATAACCAACCCAGGGTAAAGCCAGCTTGAGGTCTGGGCTATACCCATCATATAGTGTGGGTCCTCAAGGTTTCTGAGCCAGGTTTTCTTCGGGGACTACATTCCAATCCCGATTTTCAACAGTATCTTTTATCATTCTACTTGACCTTCCCCCTTCACTCCCCAGCTTCTACCTGCACTGACAGTTTCCACAGAGTTCTACCAGAAACCACGCCAAGAGCTAATCTCTTCATCCTCTCATCTCTGTTGTCCTTGCACGCCACCCAGTGTAGTTCCCTCAGTCACCTATCTTTTCTTCTTCTCACCTCAACCCTTTACTGCCCTGTCTCCTTTCCATGGTCTCATCATCCCTCCCTCCCTCCTGTGCCTGCTACACCGTAAAAAGCTCCTCTACATCCCCAGTCTCTTCACTGTCTCCTCACTCCATCCCCTTTTAACTAAAACCTGGCCTATCCTTTCGAGCACTGCTTCCTCTTCAACAGAAGCTGCTCATTCTCCATATCTCACAAACCTCGGGGTTAAAAGGAGGGGTAGCTCTCCGATGCTGTTTCCAGACACTTCCTTCTCATAGACATTCCTTCTTTGAGGCTCTACCATCTGACTATACTCTGTTCCTTTACCTTCTTAGGAAAGCCTCCTCTCTGGCCTATGTTTACTTCATCACAGTTATGATTACACAGTATTTATCAGCTTGTCTACGAAGTACTGCAGATCTCCTCATGCCCAGCAGAACAGGAGAAAGCTGCTGAACCCAGAGGCCAGAAGTTAGCCTTCCTGGGGATCTTAGCCCTTTTTTGGAGCCACAGAGGCTCCACCTCTATGGACTAGGCCCACCACTTCCCCTTTTGCTGTACCTGGGTGCCCACCCCAATGGTATCCCCTGACATGCCAGGTCTTGCTCAACCTTGGGAATGAGAGGGATTCTGAACAAGTCACTGGGTACTTAATGAAGAAATAAGACAAAAGGCTCAATGTGTTTCTTGGACAGGAGCTCCCATGATTTCTCTTCTAAACCCATCCTCTTACCTGTCTGTTTGCTTCCATGTAGAGTCCCAGGGTGCTTACTCGAGAGCAGAGCCCCTCTTTCATGATATGGACATAGCAGCGCACCTGTGATTTGGACAAGTCTTCCCACCTGTCTCCTCGACAGATATTCCAGCAGGCATCATAGGGAGCAAAGGTCAGTGTATTGCCTTCTTTTATAAAACTGAAAATATCTTCAGAATAAACAGAGGAAATAGAGACTCAGTCACATTTTGAAAGATGGTACAGCTCACACCTCTCTCCTTGGAACTTACCCATAGAACATGAACCCTGGGGAAATCCCAGTAAAACCTTAAAGACTAAGTGAAATTCAAAGAGGCAACGTGCTTTTCTGAACATCTGAAATATTGTGTGATACAAAAATGATTAAAAAAGAGGTCCTAAAAGCAAGTTTGACCAAAAATCAAGTACTACTAAGGACAATAAAATAGAGGACTCTTGTAAATCATGACATAAAGTAAGCAAGGGTCTAGGCTTTAGTGACCAGCCATGTTGGCTTTGTGCCGCTGGCCTCTATTACCATATCTGGTAGTTGTGCTATGACAGAAATAGTATAGGACTTGAAGCAGGGTTATCTGGGCCCCAGTTTTTTCAATTCTTAAAACAACCATGTGAGATCTTTTATTGTATGATAAGAAAACTGGGGCTCAGGGGACTGAGTAACCTGCCTCAGGTCACAGAGCTAGTAAGAGGCAGAGTCAGATTTCAAACCGAGGTCTGTCTGATGCCAAGTCTTGATATCTTAACCATCATGCCATACTGCCTCCATTTATTCATTTGATAAATATTTTTTTGGAACACCTGCTATGAACCCAGGACTGGCCAGGGACTAGGCAGGGATATGAGAGCAAACAAGACAGACCTCTCCCCAACATCTTGGAAAGGAGATAGTCTGGTTGGCCTCTGTTTGAACTGTAATAGTATACTCCTTTACCTTTCTTCCTTTGACAGAAGAGGCTGAATTTAGTCAGGAGTAGGGCTGCCCAGAGCCTAGAGAACAGGGGAACTGAGAAGTGGGAGGCAGAGTTTACTCAAAACAGTCTAGTGAGAAACACAGCCAAACCAGGGCTATGAACCAGAGAATGGACTTGAGGCATGATTAGCCAATCCTTGAAGAGCACAGTGATAGAATCTGCTTGAGCAAGCCTACCCAGAGCTCAGGAAATGGTGTCAGCTACCCTGTCTTGCCTGGTGGTTAGACAAGAAGCTGTTGCCTTGTTGGCTAGTTACTCTTTCCAAAGGTGCTGCTACCCCTATCTTACTGCAGCAACCCAAGCACTGACCTAAGGACTTCCGCTCCTTTTTCTTTAGATCCTCCTCTTTTTCTTCTTGTCCTTGTTGTGAGGAAGCTGAGGAGAACTGTTTTCTTATTAGGTATGGAATCAGTTCACTCCGGACGGAAGTGATTGACCTAGGAAGAAAGAGTGGTCAAATATGAGAAATCCGACTGTCTGGATGCTCTGGGATCAAAAACTCTGCATCCAAGGAAAAGCCAAATTCCTTCCTGTCATGCCACCTTGGGACTGACAGGGATCAAAAGTGGCCTGGATTTTTTGGTAGTTCTGGAGAAGTGGAGGATCTAAGTTCTCTATCAGCTTCAGGCTGGAGGTGGGAGGGTAGTGCATTAAATCCAAGAATTTATGCAGAAAAGTCTTTTACAACATCCAGTTTACACGGTGTGTATGCACATGTATTTGTGTGTGTGAGTATATTTTAACACGGTGCCTTGACTCTTAACTGGCAATAACCTATTTGAAGGAAGAATGCTCCAGTCTTGAAAAAAGTTGTTTATTTTTTTTCAAAGATTTATCTATTTATTTTAGAGAGAGAGGAGGGGCAGAGGGAGAGGGGGAGAATCTCAAGCAGACTTCCTGCTGAGCACGGAGCCCCCACATGGGGCTGATCTCAGGACCCTGAGATCATGACCCGAGCTGAAACCAAGACTCGGACGCTCAACTGACTGAGCCACCCAGGCGCCCTGAAAAAAGTTGTTTAAAAACATTAAAAAATTTTCTCTATAAAGGACTTGCATATCTTCCGTTAGATTAATCCTAAGTATCTTACATTGTTTGTTGGTATTATAAATGGTGACTTTTAAACAATTATTTTCTTCTTGTTGGTTTGTAGAAATTTAATTTACTCTGTATTTTAATCTTGTAGCCGATTGCCTCGCTAAACAATTTTACTAACTCTAATAATTTATCTGTACATTCTGACAATCATGCCAACTTTGAAAACAACACTTTTTTTCTTCCTTCCTAAGTCCTATAACAGGGAAGAAGGGACCCAATCCTTAATACAGTGAGTATGATTTTGAAATAAAAGCACAGAAGGGTGAGAGACCAGCACAAGATTTTTAGTTTTCTCTCTCAAGCTGTGACCTTGTCAGAATTTTAAATCACTAATTAATTTATTTAGGATTTAACAAGCATCTATTATTATGCCAATTACTGTGCTAGGCCTTGGACATATACTGTTTCCGACTTCAAAGAATTCATAATCCAGTGGACAGTAGCCTGATCCAGGATTTAAGGAAGAGGGTAGAAGGAGATGAGTCTGATCAGGTAGGCAAGGGAGCCAAATCATAGAAGCCTTCTGTGGCAGTCTCTAATTTGGACTGAGAAGCTAGTGGGGTTTTTAAGCGGGAAAGTGACATTGATCAGTTTTATTTCTTTGTAAGATAATTCTGGTAGCAGTGGCAATAGGTCTGATATAAGGAGAATGAAGACAGGGAGACCAGTTACAAGACTCTTAAAGATGAGATAATGTGGCCCGAGAGAGAGAGAGAGAGAGAGAGAGAGAGAGAGAGAGAGGGAGAGAGGGAGAGAGAGAGGGGAGTTAATGTATAAGCAGCCCTATAAACCCCACTGCTGCTGCCTACTTCACGCCCCCTCCCTCACCCCCATTCAAAGAAGCTCTGTAGGCTGACGGGACCACACAGACGGAGTGTTGATAGGAAGGCAAGACAGAGGCAGAGGCTGAGGAGGGTAAGCAAAATTATGAACCCTGGAGCTACACAGTTCGAGGTTTTTGTCATTTTTGAAGGATCAAGTCAGACATCTTTGAAAAATTCTGTGTAAGCTGGAAGCTCTTGTATTGAATTTCAATGTGATTTTTCTCCTGATCCTTTGATGGAGATTAAAAATTTCCATATGAATACAAAGAATGAAATAACACTCACTCTTATCTCTTTTTCTCCCCTTTTAATGCACCAAACCAGTGTGGGTAGCAAATGTTCCTTGGCCCCCTCTGGTGGAAAACAAGTCAGTTCCTTTTGAAGGAATGACAAAGCACGGACAGCTGGGGGATTTCAGAGCCATGATACTTACATTATGGGCCAAACAGGACCGTCACTGTAGAAGCAAGTAAACAAGCCTTGGCACACAGCCCCTTAGGGCCGAGTTCTTTAAGGAGATCAGACAGTGATTTAAAGAGAGGACATGAAGCAGTCCTGCCAGGTCCCACCTGCCTCTGCTGGCACTCAGCATCAGGTCAGTTCCCATAATGCAGTTAGCTCAGCAGCATTACAGAGGACAAAATTACTCTTCCTGCTTCCTACTCAAAGTAGAGGCAGCTCAATGCTATGCCAAGAAGTGGAATAGGCCACTGTGAACCTTTGTGAACATCCTGACCTTGGGGCCTAAGATAAGCAGCTGGATTTATTGCCCTGTACCTGGGCAACCTCACTTTTCCCCTTCCCTCTTATACACAGCCTTCCAGAAACACCTGCCTCATCTCATGAATTATAAGCTTCAAAGAAATAAGAAATCACAAAGGAGAACAATAGATTTTGACTATTAGCTATCAACAAACAACTCCACCAAATTAAAGACAAAATAATTGCTACAAATAGAAAAGATTAATATCCTAAATAGATATGTGTTCAAAAGATATTTTTAAAAGAAATAAAAAATAAAACAAGATGCAATTTCTCCCCCAAATTAGCAGATTTAAAAAAAATTTTTTTAGGGGTGCCTGGGTGGCTCAGTTGGTAACCCTTCTGCTCAAGTCATGGCCTCAGGGTCCTGGGATCAGGGCCCCCCTCCCCTCATTGGGCACCCTCCTGGGATCATGACCTGAGCCACCCAGGCACCAAATAAATAAATTAAATCTTTAAATTTTTTAAAAGATTTTATTTATTTGAGAGAGAGTAAGTGAATGGGGGAGTGTGGTGGAGGAGGGGAAGGCCAGAGGGGAAAGGAGAGGGAACAGCAGACCATGCACTGTGCCCAGGAGCCCGACCTGGGGCTCAGTCTCAGGGCCCTGAGATCATGACCTGAGCCGAAACCAAGATTCAGATGCTCAACTGACTAAGTCACCCAGCTGCCCCTCAAATTAGCAGATTTAAAATAATTCTCATTACTGATAAGGATGCTTTGAGACAGTTACTCTCATACAGTGGGAGTCAGAGTATAAACTGGTAAAATCTTTTCTGAAAAGTAACTGGCAATACATAGAAAAGGTGTTCAAGATATTCATATTATTTCACCCTGTAATTCTATTTCTATAAACCTATCCAAGGAAAACATATTATGCTCAATAAATATTTGCTGAAATGAATGAAAGAATCAGATTATAAAAAGGATCTGAAGGGCGCCTGGGTGGCACAGTTGGTTGAGTGCCCCACTCTTGGTTTTGGCTCACGTCATGATCTTGGGGTTGAGCCCCATGTCGGGCTCCGTGCTAGGTGTGGAGTCTGCTTGGGATTCTTTCTGCCTCTCCCTGGCTCCCCTCCTGCTTGTGCTCTCTCTAAAATAAATAAGTAAATCTTAAAAAAAAAAAAAAAAGGATCTTTGGGGAAAAAAAATATTCCTCTTAATGTTATTTATAAAAATAGAGAACAACCAAATATTCAACAATGGAAGAATAATAATAATATATCTATGTAATAGAGTATCATATAGGCAAAACTCTGATTGTAAAGAACATTTTAATGACAAAGGAAAATGCTCATGAAATAGTACTGAATAAAGAAAATGAAATGCTCATGACATACTGAATAAAGAAAAAACAAGTTATTTTTACAGCATGATTTCAAGTATGTATATGTATATATAAAAATAAAATAATGGAAAGAAATACACTAAGATGCTCTCAGTTATCACACAGTAGAATTATGGGTAATATTTTCTTTTTATATTTTTTGAATTTTCCAAATTCCACAGTCATTAGCCATTCCTTATTTCTTCTTCCCTTACCTTCTGTGGCATCACTCTCTTGATCTGTTCCTATTTCTGATACCTGTTTCCCCTAAAATATTGGGTGTTTCTTAGTATTTTTCTTTTTGCCTGTGATTTTTCTCATGTTATTTATCTCCCTGAGACAGATCATCACTTAGTGGCTTCTTTGCTGCTCATTCCCAAATGTGGACCCATAACCAAGACCTCTCTCCTTTATTTATTTTATTTTTTTATTTGACAGAGAGAGACACAGGGAGAGAGGAAGCACAAGCAGGGTGAGTGGGAGAGGGAGGGAGCCCGATGCGGGGCTTGATCCCAGGACCCTGGGATCACGACCTGAGCGGAAGGCAGACGCTCAAGGACTGAGCCACTCAGGTGCGCCTCTTTCAGCTGCTTTTAATTGGTCTTCCTTCCTTCAGTCTTGCCTCTTGAAATCTGTCCTTCATATTGTCGACAGAATACTCTCTCTAAAGTATAATCTGATCATGGGTCTTATTCCTTCTATCTACCCCTCTATATTGTGGTTTTTCTCAAGTACAAATCTGATCTTATCTCCTTAAATTTAATGCTCAGGATAGTGGTTACTTTTGTGTGTTGTGGGGGATAGTTACTGTCTGGTAGGTAGCATGAGGAGAGATCCTGGAAATGTGGTAATGTTCTGTTTCTTGACTAGAATAGTAGTTACAAGGGTGTGTTCACTTTGTGAAAATTTATCGAGCCGTAAGACTGCTCTCAAATATCATTTCTCCTTGAAAGCGTTTCATAACACTTCTAGCTTCTGAATTCTCACAGCAAAGACAATTATATACTGCTTTTTAATCCATATCATTTTTGAGTGTTATGCTAGGAAATTAATAGACATCATCTCAAATTCTTATAGCAATCCTCATGGTAGGTATTCTTGTCCTTGTTTTATAAGTGAGGTAATTAGAGCTTAGAAAGATTAATTATCTTTTTAAGGTAAATACAGCTTTTATACTTGGCAGAGCTGAAACTTACTCCATATCTATCCTAAGCCCATGACTCTTTCCACTATACCATCCACTATACCATGGTAACTAATACTCTGTTTACTGCAACCATAGTACTTTCCACAGGATTTATAATTTTTTGCTTATTGTCTCTACTGATAGACATGAAGGGAGTGCTAAATAAGTATTTATTTGAATAAGTGAATGAGTAAATGTGTAAATGACGGTCATCCCTCTAGGCCAGACAGCTGCCAATAATT